ACGTACCTATCAATTTGCTAGTCATTCAAACGCAAAGCATTTCATAGGATTTTCGATAAGGAGTAGGAACGAGATGGTATGGTTTCCCCCACTTTTATTGTTGCCCACGCTTACTATATAGACGAATAAATGGTATCTTTACCCGTGGGAATATGTGCGTTAGGAGTTTAGTTTTAGTTCACAGTTCTTTGCTTGTAGCAATCACCGAACCTTTGTTGGTTGCGTCAATCTCTTCTTGTACATTTTATAGCTACAAATCATAAACTCAATGATTGGGCGCCTATATAGAGTAATACAATAAGTATTGAGAAATAATATCTGATTGAATTCGCTGCATGCTGCTCATCTCTCAGCTCTAATCCTATGATCTCTCATATCTATAAGGATCTGGAACGGTTTCTGTTCCCTCAGCCTATATTTTGTGGTTAATGTTCCAGATGTGCGTCCTCTTGCAATCAATTGTCGAAAGACATCCCCTCCTGTATATTTCAGAAACCGATTTCTAGACTTCAAATAAAGGATGAACAACGTAGCTGCTTACAATTAGGATTGTCTATATGTTTGCGAATTTTATATGTCTTCATTTTGCTTCTGATTCTCCGTACTCTGAGTGCTGACGTTCTGTCTCCTTTCTTTCTAATATTTATTGACCATTTTGTTTCCAGATAATAAAATGTCGTTATTCAACCGGTTATTTCGTAGTAAGAAGTCATCAAACAAGGAGAATTTGCCTACGGAGCTTGTACGATCTTTCATTGCTTTACATGTACAAATAGTCTAAAGACACTCCGTTCAAAATGCTTCATCTGCAGGATCGTGAAGAGGCTTACCGACGATCATTGCGCATGTCTTCATCAAGGAGCGCAGGCTTCAAAGGGGATCGGACTCGATTCCACGAGGATATACCGGCGACCGCACCCTATCACACTGTGACTGCTCCCCGCCTTCACAAGGGACCGATGAGCTGCCCAGGAGGGTATGTAGTTCACAATATGCTCATAACAAAAGTCAGCCAGAACAGTCTCATTGCCGGCTGAAGAGAACGTCAGCACTTTATCCGCATTTTATCTTGTAGTCCTAGCCACAGGATTGTTGATTTTTGCGCAAAGAGCAAGCAAAGTTACGATGCATACATATGTAGACAGTAAATGCATTGCGCGTAATGTAACTATTTTTAGGTACAAAGAGAGCTACCGAAGTGACGCAATGGAGCGATCGTTTGAGACCGAAATTCGATCATCTCGCGATCGAAGAGATCGCGAAAGACTCGACTGCTCTGATCGAAAATACAGAAATAAAAGGTCCTTTGCCCTGTTGACTGTCTTTTCTTTTGTTTCAATCTCCTTCTGCTTTTTTTATCCGTTGAGATGTTACATTTGGAAGAAGTACAAGTTTTAGGACAACCACATGGGATACTTCTGAGTATGGAAGTGGTGATCCATCACCTCTTGGAAATTATCCTAGGAACTCGCATTTCAATGAAGATTTGGAAGAATCTGATGACCAAGAATGGAATATGCATGACAAACTGATGGTAATTCTTTGACTCCTTCAGTTTTCAATGATGGATTACCTTGTG